CATTACACAACCTCAGTGCTTTCTTGTCATATCTCCATTTTTAATAACGGTGAAAACAGTTCATAACAAAAGAGTGAGGTTAAGAAGAAGTCACCTTTTCACTGTTACAAAAAATGGAGATACAACAAGAAAGCACTGAGATCGCGATGAGCTAACAACAAACAGTGTACAGAGGTACAAATATTGCTCTGACAGAATGAAAAACATCGGCAACACAGACCATGGCAACAAGAGGAGAACTCAGAAACATGTCACCACACTGTGGAATCAAGCGCTCCTCGATTTTTGGGGCATTTAGAGTTATTGTTTGTTTGAGTAAGGAGAACGACACAACAATAATTGTCATTTAGCGCTCGGAAAAAGTATGGACATGTCTAAATTTAGAATAACTGGCAGCCACTTTTGAAAACTTTTATTATTAAATGATGTCCCATGTTGTGGGGAACTACAGAACAGTCACATTCCACCAATGTCCACAAGTCTGACTCGGGCCATGATGGCAGCACCATGATGAAAAGTTTGTGTAAGTTCAAATCACCAATGTCAGAATGTCTCTCCTACAGGCCACTCACCTAGCAGCAGACAGATGTCTGCATCTCCCCCAGACTCCCACTGGTATCGGCAGAAGGGAAAAGTAAGTATGTCAGAATGTTAGAATAATACCCAGTTAGTTTTAGTATGAGTTTTACAGCACTTGCAACACAATAAGATCATATATGTGAAAAAGATTGGGGGTGTTACCTTCCAAGAGAGTAACCAATACAAAAAAAGGAGGGGAGATAAGGACGCTAGATGTTTGATAGGAAAGGAAGAGCAATTTATAATTATATCCAGGAAACATTCATTAACAGGTGTCAGTCAAGTCAAGTACTGCTCACCAAATGATCCACCTCATAACCATCCATCCCCCCCCCCCCCCTTCCCCATCCAGGGGGGACAAAAGCAAAAACCCAGAGTGTGTCAGGGTGTGGTGTCCATCTATCTGGATTTGAACTGACATTATACTAAAATCAACTAACGCGAAAATCTAAATCTTCAGACAGACCTTGCTCTAATAGTGTTCCCTTACAAAGGATAACGGATGGAGGCTACAGACTTTGAAGTTGTTACGATTCTAAACCATCTGCAACTGGAAAAAATGTAAAACATTTTTCTAGCTCTAGACCCACATCCACATTCTCTCACCCCCCCTCTAAAAAAAAACCAACTCCACCAAAAATCATCAGAAAAAGCAATGTACGTGATTCAACATGAGGTGCCAGCAAAGAGCGACGGGGAAACTTCCAAAATAAAGCACAGAATAGGTAAAACATGTTAAAACATGTTAAAACATCTTCCATATCACAGAAAAATGAAGCAGTGCCAAGAAAGAGTACCAACAAAATGTCTCACACTCGAAAAAATACAAATTATTTCCCGTCTTCAGCACCATACATCCCTCAATGCTCACAATATTCTTTTACATTTTCAACATTCAACCCCCTTTTGTTCTCTGTCTCTGAAGGAACAGCATTATGAATGTACTCACTACATCTGCTCTCAAACAGAAAGACAAAAAAAAAGAAAAGGATGCCAGACAATCTAATTCTTGAAATTGTTTCAAAAAGTATCGAGCCACATTTATAATAGTCATAGTAACTGTTACACATACAAATACATAAAAGCACATGACTATTCTATTTGGTGTCTTTTTTAATGCAGGTGTTTTTACACCCCATTCGACACAATTTAGATAATTTCAGAGGCAAAACTTCAATCCTGCCTGTCAGGGCTACACCGGACTGAGAGGCATACAACATCCCAGCAAAAATCAGAAAGACTGAGATAATCAGTAAAAATTCTCCCTACTTGAGAATTGAACTTAGGTGTCCGGCATGTGGCAGCGAAGTGCCTAACCACTACACAACAGACGCCGGTAATGATTATAGATCTAGACATGAAAAACAAACAAAGAAAACAAGCAGAATATGCAAAGCTTGTTCACAGCTGCCTCTGTAGCAATAAATGAAAATTGACAAGGAAAATAGACAGGCAAGGTTGTGTGTAAAAATTGATCAGTACCTCTGTGACCACTGATGAAGTAACAGCTGATGTTGAGGCAGTACAATGGCTGGGCTCACTGTGTCTTAACTCTTAGTACAGGGAAGGCTATTCCTCCTTTGTACGCAGCCAATTTTGTTCTCCCAAGTTTTCAGTATCACATTCTTCCCCACAACTCCCCCCTCTTATTTAACCTGTTTGCACAAAATAAACACCAAACTGAAAAAAAAAAGAACAACCCTTGCAATAGACGTACAGTTTGGTAACATATATAGATAAGATAGATTTGGTTGGGTTTTGTAGATTTTTGTTATGACTGAAAACAACAGAGCAATGATGTGCGCCAGCTGAAATGACCTGCCGTATACTAAGAGAAAAAATGTGAAATGGTACGGGTTATTAAGAGGTGGGACCTCTCAGTTTAACATCCATCTCCAAGAGGACCGAGCCAAATGAGAAATTCGTGTAACTTGCCTTTCTCATAGACACAACGTCAGACCGAGCTGAGGCTCCAACCTCCGAAACTGCAATCTCACTATTATAAGTCCGGTAGCATGATAAGAGTTGAAATTTTCCAACAACCATGATAAGCTATACAATGAGCTAATAAGAGTTTTACAGCAAAAGTAACCCTTTTCAGACTGAGTAGGCCCAGGCAGAAAGACTCAGACAATGTCCACTCTTCTAAGAGGAACTTCTTAAAAAAAGAAGGCTGCTGAGCAATATAATATATCAGCCATTTTTAGGGGGCTTTTTTAGCTTCTATCAGCCATTTTTAGGGGGCTTTTTTAGCTTCTATCAGCCATTTTAGGGGGCTTTTTTAGCTTCTATCAGTCATTTTTAAGGGGCTTTTTTAGCTTCTAGTCAGGAGTTTTACGGCACTTGCAAAAACAATTAGGTCACATAAGTGCCAAAGATTTGAGGTGCTACTGGAGACTAACAAAGAAAAAAAGGAGAAGAGATGTTTAAAAATATATAAATAAGATTTTAAAAAACAAAAAAGATACAAGAATGAAATCTCCGCTACAGTGATGTTGCTTTTGTGCTTTTACAACACACAGATACAACTTGCTGCCATCCAAACTACAGCTAGAAACAGTTACATCTCGGGCTGAGATCAACAGAGTTGAAATAACTATAGTTTTGGAACTTTGGACGTTACAAGACCTCATATGTGCCGATTTGGATGCTATATTCTTGCTGTAATTTTGTTGGGTTGGTTTATTTTTTTCAAAGTAGGCGATTTACGCCTCCATCAAAACAAGTTAGATCACTACATAAAGGTTCCTCAATTAAAAGGCACGCCAAAAAGGTATTAAAGCACAATAATGCACAATTGCACACACTATTTGGAATTCCAAGAATCTCCCAACGCAACACTCTAAAGTTTGTCATTTACGCCTGCAAAGCTCCTCAAGACAGCACCTTCTTCATACCACAGAGCGCGCATACACACGGTTCATCAGAAAAACATACATGCTACGTCTGGCTAGGCATTCACTGCCTACATTTGACAACTGAAGTCGATGATCTGAATTTCAATAGGAGATGAACCTGTATGGCCATCACATAAAACCTTTCTACATATTCTTCTGCAGAATCAATGATGAAGTAAAGCCCTGAGAAATAAAAAGCAAAAAACTAAGTTTGCTGATAGATACATGTGAAGTAGAAGTGAAGTACAGAACATTTCAAACGAATCACGTAACATTATCACCTGAAACTATTCAGTAGTCAAGTCAGTGTTATAAACATATAAACAACAACAGTGTTTACACTAAGAGGTTTTCAAAGAACCAGGAAGAACATCAGACTAACAGTATTATTGTCATCAGCTTTAAAAAAAAAAAGGACCGACTGCCAATCACTTTTCAAAAATTCTGAGCTCTCCTGCTGAACATGTACATTTTACAAAGGTTTAACTTCGTCTCATTAAAACTGCAACTGATGGTGACATGCCTAGCACGCCTGGAGGAGAACCTATGAGCATTAGCTTTCCCAGGTTACAAGTGCACGCGTACCAGCAGACCTAAAAGCAATGAATTCATAACTTCTTGCCCAGTATCTTAACCCTTTGAGCCCTTAGCACGGGTACACTGGTGGCATCCTTCGGTTACAATAACACATAGCAGCAATTCACCGGTGTGAGGAAAGAGCACTAAATTATAAATTATCGGACAGAAAAAGGCAACATTTTTTAAATTATCCAAACACTAGTTTCTGTCAAAATGCTATTATGGGATACAAAAATGTCTGCACCCTTTCATACATGTTTTGATCCCATTCTGTACTGATTTACTGAGGTTCTTTCACAATGAAGCGCTCTCTCCCTGACCCCAGACGGTCAAGAAGCCAGGATCTGGGTAAAATTAGGATCAGGAGTGCAGGGCTCAAAGGCTTACGAGACTAAAGACTGCTAGTGCAAAGACAGGTCAAACAATCAAGAACGAGAAGCCTGTATACATCTAAAGATATTGAGAAAATTAAACATGAAGAATGTCACACTTATTGTAATAACATTTATGCGCTCTTTTTCACAGGACTTCTATATAAATTGCTCATTACGTCTTCCATTTCCATGAAATACTGTGACAATATTTACGGGAGGTTTTTTGCCACACGAGACGTCCATCAATAAATCGCTTTCAGAACACTTGCTTGTATTTCATAAACCTTTCTAGTGTAGAGCAGAGCAAAACTTCCTACTTCCTTTACATTTTTCATGCATGATCACATCCACCCCCCCCCCCCCCCCCCAAAAACAGAAGCCAAGTAAATGCATTTCTCCACCTTCAAATGAACTATCAGGATTCCTATCCTACACCGTGAAATGTGTGTGGGACGTCGGACACAGGTGTTCACTTGTGCCTACGACTTTGAACGCAGGCACTCAAGAAAACAGAAAAACATTGCCTGTTCTTTACACGAAACACAAAACTCTACAGGTACTGCCTTACAACTTTTTTTCTATATAAAACACTGCTACCTAGTACATACATACTTACTTAGTCCCTTACTTACTTACTCATCCCTTTGGGGCACAAAGGCTACCACTTTGCTCCATCCATCTCTATTTTCAGCCTTTCGAAGGGCTTCTCCTTACATAGTACATGCAAACGTACAAATACACATGTGTACACGTGCATCCCACAATTTCCAACCCACTCGTGGCAACACTTGCACACAATATACAATCATACCTGTTGACTGTACAAACAATCTCTTTTCACTTTCCACCTTACGTTTCTTCTTTGTCACAATGACACTCTCCAAAACATCCACCTGTTTAAGAAAAACACTTTTCTCCTCAACGATGGATGGCCATCGTGTACAATTTCTGCTGTATTTTCAAGTACCCAACTTTGTCTACACAAGTTCATCTTGACAGTTTTGTCCAACAAAAACCATAAATGACTCAACAGGCTACAAGCTGCAAAAGCACAAGTTCACAAACTACATACAGCAGTTCAGGGTAACTTCTGCACAAAACAAAAGGAGCAACATCTTAAGAGATATGTCTAAAACTGAAAAGTATGTTGTTGTGTTCCTTAGCATTGAAAGCCATTTTCATAAGGATTCTTCTTGCAATAACTATTATTGGGAGCCAGTAAATGAAGTTATCTGCTGTTAGTATAGGCAGAAAACATTTCTTTTAGAAGGCTTTACAAAACCCTTGTGTCCTTTACGCTATAACTCAGCTTCCAGTAACATTTCATAGCACAAACAATGGCATGTAAAAGCATCGATAACAGACTCGTTCAAACCCACACAAAATATGTACATGGGTAGAGAGAACGGACAACAGCCAATCACCAGGCAGACACTTCACCTCACAGCAGTCTCCACACAAAGCCAAAGTAGAACAGACCCTGAGAGTCAAACTTTAACCTTTTTGACTGCTAAACTCACAAATCATTGAAGTGTGTGAAATTACAATTCACAGTTCATGTAGAATATACACTGTGCGATAAACTATGATTGCCTATCGCTGGCAGTGAAAGAATTAACTGACTGTCTTGGGGTTTTCCTTTTTCTCGGTTGCCTTCAAATCATGGTCACGTCCAGATTTTGTTGAGTATACAGATTCACGACAATATAATAAATCCAGCAAGTAAACAAATTTTAAAAAATAAATAAATAAACCCATTATAAAAATGGAATAGTCGAACCTGCTCTTACACAGCCACCTGTCCAAGACAATCAACTGGACAGACAACTACTTCCCATTTCACAGCTTGCATTTTTTCTACATTATAAATAATGGCACACTGCCCAAGACGTCCATCAGTCTAAGTCAATCACTTTTCTCCTCAACAATGACTGGCTGTCCAAGGAGCAATTTTGACTGTACTCTTGATCCAAAGACCATTGTCCAACACTTGGACAAACTAGATTTTTCAATGCTGGCTTATACTTTGTTATATCAGCCCTCAGCCTTCTAAAGAAACAGAGTCAAAATTGCTAAAGACAGCCATCATTGTCGGGAAGCAAAGTTGTTATTTTAGACAGCTAGACATCTTAAAGAGTCATTAATACAGAAAAAATGCAAGTGGGGGCAGGGGAAGGAGTGGGGGTGGTTGTTTGTACAGCTGATTGTCCATGACAATGTTGCACACAAAAAAACCCTCGTCCAGTGGCATAGTCTTGCCCAATGACTCGACTCGCCAGCGATGCATACGGCTCAGAGTGAGAAGTGACTGTCTCAAGGTCTAGCTTTCCACCAAGGCCACTTCTGCCAGTTGACTAAGATATCCATTCGACAACTTTTAGCTAGTTCACGTAGGAGAAAAGGGGACCACACAGAGATCATGATTTTTTTTCCATGGGACCTGTCTTTAAAAAAAATAAATTTTTAAGGCTAGACTAATGTCAAGGGCAACCAATATCAAAGCTATCTTTCTCAATTCAGCAATTATGCTCCGAACGCCTGAGGCTTCTACCTTCCCTCTTGCCCAAAAAGCTTCAGTATGTAGCAACACGCGAGAAAAGGTAAATGATTCCAGGGCCTTTGCAGCAGAGTAACTGTGTCCTCAAACAGTCAACGGTCAAAAACACCCCAGAACATCGACACCGCAGTTGCAGCATCCTCAAAGAGTTCAAGGCCCCTGATCCAGAACCTCTGCACTATATTTTCTACTCATCATCAACCCCACAGATGTTGAAGGTAATGCTATGATCTCATCCTCTCATTACAGAGGTCAAATGTCATACCATCCTCTCATTCTCTCATCACAAAGGTCGAAGGTCACCAACAGCACCCCTAGCAGACGTCGAAGGTCACACCATGACCTCACTCATCCTCTCATCAACAGCACCCTCCAGAAGTCAAAGGTCATACCATGATCTCGTCCTCGTCTGCCAGGCTCAGAATCCCAGGAACTGTCACATAGCTCGACTCCACAGTCATTGTCCCTGAATACTGCGAGTAGGGAGGGGATCGAATACTGATGGTGGGGATGGGCTCGGGGAGGCACGCCTCGCTGGTGTCCTCCAGCGCAAGCTGGGCGGCCTTGACCTTTTGAGCAAATCGTTTAGGAAGTCTCCGACAGTTGGGCCCCGACATTCTGGTTTTAGTGATATGGGGCAGGGACGGGCGCGTGGCTGTGAGGGTAAGAGGTGAAAAAAACAGACATTACTTTATTTTTTATTTTTTAGAGTTCTAGTAAGACTATTACAGACTTGCAAAACAAACAGCTCACAAGAAGGGTCAAAGATTAGAGGTGTAACTAGAGAGTAAGAATTTTTTGGCACTTGCAAAAAAAAATAGCTCATATAAGGATGAAGATAAGAGGCGTTACTAGAGAGAATCGTAAAAAGAAAAGAAGGAGGAGAGATGTGGAGGACATATGTCGGATAGGAGAGAAGGAGTAAAGCACCCATTAGCACCCCCAAACCACCCACAAAGAGACATCATCATCATGAAAAAAGTAACGGTAAGTAACATGTATATATAACTACAAAAGCCTATTTACATTTTAGTTTAGTTTTAGAAGAGGTTTTACAGCACTCGCACCTGCATAAGGTCATATGAGCGCCAGAAGATTAGAGGTGTTACAAGAGAGTAACAAACACAAAAAAAGAAGGACGGGAGATAAAGTCGATAGATGTTTGATAGGAAAGAAGGAGCAAACCACACCAGAGCACCCGCCAACCACCCGTTGGTTACATTTATGAAACAACAACTCAACTAATCTAGACAATGTCACATATCCTTTCACTGAAGGCTACTCTTATCACTCAGGCTAGTCTGCGTCATGTAGTACGGTAATATTATATTTCTTAAGACCTCAAAGAAAATTAGAAGGTAGAGATGCCATCTTCATTAACTGCTTTACAATCATAGAGCTTAAGAAAGACCAGAAAAACAATGTTCTACACCTTAAGGAATGGTTTAAACCATGGTGAGGAGAAAGAAAAAATTTTCAACACAAAACAAAGGAAAGCACGAGTCACCAAAGCCACAAAATACCAAAATAAATGGTGCGAGTCCACTTGATCGTCTACCTAACAAAGTCTTCCACAATGATGTGGCCTGCCCAGAGTAATCTTATACTTCATACTCCCACACTCTGATGTATTATATTCAAGAAATCAAGAAGAGGTCGGGGGCAGACCCCTTCTGTCATCTCCAAGACAAATTACAGAACAAGCAAAACGTTTTTAATGTGGCTAATGGCAGTCCCAAGGGAGAGCATTCAGTATTGTAGACTGGTTGACCGTCATGTGGAACAATTGTCAGACGGGTCCAGTGATAGACCATTGAGTAGAACAGAAACATCGTGAACTACCATCAAGCAGAACAGAAACATCACAGTAGATTGTCAAGTTGAGTGGGAATATACAGAAACATGGCAGTAGTCCGTTAAGTAGAAGAGAAACATCCCAGTAGACCGTCACATGGACCAGAAACGGTCCAGTAGATCATCAAGTTGAATGAGGATTTACACAGGAACATAAACCATATCACGTAAAACAGAAGCATCACGGTAGACCGCCACCTAAAAAAACTCATTGTGGTAGACCGTCAAGTAGACCAGCACCAAAATAATTATTATTACATGAATCAAATATCAAGAACACAAATAGAGAAGAATCCTACATGACCTGTGAAACTGAAACCATTTTTTGTTCCCAATTCACAAGAAAAAACAAATATTAGGATTTTTAAAAACAGATGCTTGAGCCCAAAAATACAGCTGGAAAAAAAACAGAATTTATTTTAACACTTCAAGGCCTTATCAAATTAATGCACACGAGCTAGAGGAGAAAATGAAACAAATGGATTTGAAAAACATGGGAAGTGACTTCACATCTTCTGTGTGCCACAGCGAAGTGCCTAAATATTATACCATAAACCCTGGTATGTAAGGATAGTCTGGGGGACAGAAACACAAAAAAAGAAGAAGGAGCAGACCACAAAGATGATGCACCCATCAACCGAGAAGTAAAAAAACAAAAAAACTTTTTAAATCTCAAAAAGGCAAAAAGGAAGAAGTTACCAAGTTCTTTACTTCTCCAACCATTACTACTCAAAAAGAAAATAAAAAAGTCGAGAAACACCAAACAATGCACATTGCACATTGATCACCAAAATCCACACAGTAAAAAACACTGCGTTAAACAGAAGCTAAGATCAAAACACATCGAAAGGGGTAGTAGCCCAGAGAAAACAAAAAACGTAGCTGACGAAACTATCCACCCAACAGTCCAGAAGCTGATAAAATTACCAAAAGCATAAAGCAGCATAAAATAAGCAAGCACTAAAGAAAGCAAATTAGCCAGGTGAAAGAGTCAGACCAATTTACATATTATTATAACAATAGTTCTAGGGGAGTATTGTGAACATGAAGGGAGTGATGTCGTCTGATCGTAATTTAGTTTTTGCTTCTTCTTTTTTTCTTTTTCTTTATTTTTGGAGGGGGGGGGGGGGGGGGGTTATCTTTTGTGGCTTTTTGACTTTCTATAGGCTAAGTATGACAGATTGAAGATTCATATCTACAAAAGCTTCCAGTGTACGTACAAAAACTTTTTTTAAAACTTGTTTATTATCCAAAGCAGTAAATTTGTTTTAAAAAATCAGAAAGACATGAAAACTGGAGAGATAGAGGGAGAAGTAGGGACAGACAGATTGAGAGAGAGGAAGGGGGAGACAGTGAGACAGAGAGACAAAGATGGAGAGAGAGAAAAAGGGAGAGAGAGAGAAATAAAGAGGGGGAAGAGAAAGAGGGAGGGGGGAGAGAGAGAGAGAGAGAGAGAGAGAGAGAGAGAGAGAGAGAGAGAGAGAGAGAGAGAGAAAGAGAGAGAGAGAGAGAGAGAGCGCAGGGGGGAGGATGTCATGAGAGAATTTGATCTATGAATACAGCAAAATATGTTCACAACATAAAATGTCCATAAAAACAATTTTCATTCATATTCAAATCAATCTTCTATTTAACTAGTCTTATACTGCTTCCTCCTCACGAGCTGACAAAAAAATGAGGCAGGAGCATAAAACACATCAAACAAAGAGGAAAGATATAAACCAAGAGCCAAAGAAGGGGTTACCAGAATCATCAAAGAACGAGAGAAGACGGAGGGGGATAATGACTGCACAAAGACGGAAAACACATATTCATATACCAGTCATATCGAGAGTGCTTTTCAGTGCTTGGTGTAAAACTTTGTCATACGCCATTTTGAAAAGAGACGTACAACAGAGTTTTACACAGAGCGGCCACTGTACTAAGAGAAACAGAAACTAAGACAGTCAAAGTTGTGAGGAGGTCTTCTTTTTTTCTTTTTTTTTTTTAAAGATAAAAAAATGAAATAAAATTTTTTTAAATGTTTTTAACTCGTTAAGACGCCTTATAAATGTTATGCACAGCTGTTGTTAATTAGTTGGGCTGGCTTTAAGCTAAAAGAAATATAATATACATAGCAGAATGGCCTCCAGTTTAGTCTACTAAGGAATATTAGATAGAAGAGTGGCTTCAAGTTCAAGTTTAGCGTACACAGGAATATAATAAAGATAGTAGAATGGTCTTAAGTTTAGCCTGTAAAGGAATATATAAATAGTAGAATGGCCTCAAGTTTAGTCTAAACAGGAGCATAATATAGATAAGAAGAGAGACTTCAAGTTTAGCCTACAAAGGAACATATTGATAGAAGAGTGACTTCAAGTTTAGCCTATAAAGGAATATATCAAAGACAGTTGAATGGCCTCAAGTTTTGCCTACAAAGGAATACAGTGGAACTTGCTCTAAAGGCCACCAGTCCAAGACAACCACCTGTACAAATTACCACTTCCTGCTCGCCCTTTCGTTCTTTTTTTACTATTATAAAGACACTGTCCAAGACATCTAGCTGTCTTAGACAAGCAGTTTTCTCCTCCACAATGGCTGGCTGTCTTGGACAATTTCGACTGTATGTAGATAGTAGTAGGTACAGCCTCGTGGCTAGATAATTAACTACAAGCCAGGAACGGTAGGGTATGACACTTCAGCTACGGATATATCACACTAGGAGGGTCTTCTTTCTCACAAGAAAAACATGTGACTAAAAACAGTGTGCCATCTAGATCTACCTAAGACGAAGTAATACTGACACAAAAACAACTAATGTACATTGCTTATTTTCACAAGCAAAGCCATAGTGAAATTTCTCCGTTCTTTTCAAAGAAAATGTTAATTGCTGCAATGAAAGGTAGTGTCATAGAACAAACAAACCACCCCAAGCAGTTCAGTGAAATTAGAAAGGAAAAAAAAATCTTATGCACAAAAAGGATAAAACCACAATCTCAGAATTGAAAAAAGAAATTAAAAAACACCCCAAAAAACAAATGAAGCTTTATCCAATTTAAAATGCACAAAGATTTTTGTGAAATGAAAGTGCAGAATCACAAACAGTAAAATCTAAAAGAACCAAAAATCTGTTAAAAGAAAGAAAGAGGAGAAAAAAAAAAAGAACGGAGACAAAGAAAAGCCAGGTGTGGTAAGGTGACAGGTAAGTAGTTATGTTAATCTCTATCATGATAGTTGAAGCAACCAACCAAACCTGGTTTGACACAGTTCGACAGCGAGGAGTTTAGAGTTACCTGTCCTGGGGGCGATAAGCTACAAGGAAATGGGGAACGAAATAAAAATGAAAATAAAAAAAGACCAAGAAAAAAAACCAACAACAAATACGCACACGCACACACACAAACACACAATAACCAATTGTCCGCTAACTCGTGAGTGTGAAAAGAACACTGTTTTAAAAACACAACATTCTAGTTGATGCCCGGATGAGAACAGAACCATCAGGTCTGAGCTTCAAGGGAATGTGGGAATTCCAGAAATTGATACAATGAAAAATCTGTTAGCTAATTATATAACATTCTAGAAAAGGTGGACAAAATGTTCACATTAATTACGTCCATGAAGACGATAATGCTGAAAGTGGTGCTCATAACAAATATGATGTTCTAGCTTATCCAACAACAATAAATTCCTGATTAAGCCAGAAGGGCGAAAGGTTGGGCAATTTCATGAACACTAAATCCTTCCTAAACCATAACATCCAAGTGTCAGTACATTTTTCTCTGTACTATTCTGCCTAGGGGAGTAAGTACAACAAAGTTGGTCCATATTTTTCTTATTAACAACCGTGCAGATGATGATGATGAGGATTTTGACTTGGACCAATCTAGCTCCATAGATGACAGTGAGAGATATTTCATGATGATGATGATGATGATGATGATGATGATGATGATGATGATGATGATGACGACACATTTTTTAGATCTGAAACTTACAAAAAAGCGCAGACAAGACAAAGAATGAAATACAAGACAAAGAATGATTTCTAAGCAGTTTTTCAGTGCTACATGCAGTACAGAAAGTCATGCACAATATAATCTCACTGGCTGGAATCCCCTGAAAATTGTCACTTAGCTGTTCAGATGTACTAATCCTCAATAAATTTTGAATTTTCAAAAATTGAAGTTTCTTACTCCGTGGTATCTACCTGCATTTACTGGAGGAATATTTTGTCCAAATTCAACTTCTAAAGGTTGGAAAATACATGTAGTAAGAAAAAATACACACATAGTGTAAATACAATTCTTCTAAGAATGAAACAGTATTTTTATTGCTCCTGAAAAATTTTGCTTTCAGGGGTTTAGAAGAGTAGACCAGCTTAACAACAAAATGTGGCGGATCAGTTTCCGTAGAGACAGAGATGTACATAAAGCAACCGACCGCATTAATTTTAACAGTTTCTTAAGCTGACATCTGTTAAATATCCTGCGGAAAGAAATACTTGATCAAAGGGAAAAGACAAGTGGTATACTGCTATTTGGGGAGAAGTTTGAGAGGGAATAAACCGGATACGCTTACAAAAAGTTTACAGAAATGATTATTCCATAACTTGAAAGTTGTTAACTTCACACGAAGTAATCTTAACATCGATGTAAACTTTATCAATAGCAGTTCAGAACATGTACAGTTGTTCTGAACACAGGCTTCTTTTATCTACTCCTTGCTGCCATAGACCTGGCAGTGCTTTCTCTTACATAGCTCAGCCACATTTGGGCAGCGCTAACACTAAACTTTGATGTCTAGTTGGGGCCGCAAAATATCTTGCTGCGGGCCTCAATTCTGTCAGCGGGCCACAAGTTTTAAAACCCCTCCTCTGACTCAGTATACATGTGTAGCTAAATCTGTTCTCATCCTGAGCAAAATCATCATGACAGACCAACCAAACACAAAAACAGCCAGAAGTTACAATCAGAACACAGCTGAAACTAAAACTGAGGTAATGAGCCTGTATAAACAATCAATGATAAATGAACCACACAGACTGAATGACAATTTATCTACATCTGAAACCAAAATAGAATTGAAGATACTATTTTCAGGAACTACTACAAACAAACAAAAAACCCAACAGAAATCAATTTCGCTTCGATTTGAAAAAAGGAAGGAAAATAAATATGTATATTGTTTCCATAAATCTGTGACAAAAAGCAAATCAGAGCAGAGCGGCCTAAATATTATGCTTAGGCTGCACAGGATGCTTGCAGCAATGCTTCTACCCCCATCCCATCAGAGCGAATCGAGAGAGACAGAGAAATACTAAAATCCTACAAACAGAAGCTACGTGTATATTACACCAGCAGTCCCCGAAATCACGAGTCGGTAATACTGAGGACCATGAAATGGAAACATTGTCTTGCACACACTTAGCGCAACACGAACACAGTGGACACAGTGTCAGGTCCCGAATATTTCTTTATTTATGTGTATTGTCTGTAATTAATTTTTATAACCCCCCAAAAAACAAGTAGTCCAACCAACAAGTAGTTGGAGGGCACAACTGGTAAGTCCTACTTCTTCATTTTCCCTCCATTGTTTCTGTCTGTCTTATTTATCCAAGCACTAATCATGTCTGTCGGGGCCAACCCTGGCTGAGAAGGATACAGTATCCCAGCTGAAAGACAGTGATACTTGATAAAAATTCTCCCCACTCAGGAATCCAACTCAGGTTTCCTACATACAAATGCAAAGCACCTGACTGGTCTGTTCAATTTTGTCAACCTTAAGAGTTATCAGCCACATATCATCCCTTTTCTGCAATCCCCCTAAGCACGACATAGTCCAAACTTCAACATAATCGTGTTTCATGGTCGTCAGTAATACTTTACAAAGGCAGAAACTCTAGGCACAGACTACAACAGATTCATTGACAGGGAACCAGATGCACAAAAGGTTAGCAAACGTAAGCCTCACAGAGAGTCAAAGAAGAGCGTTCCCCCTTCCCACACAGATGCTGAATAACCAAAGCACTTTTGAAAGGTAAGGACACGAACGTGAAAAGCGACGCCACAAAGACCAACAATGAGTAGAAGTCAAGAATCTAACTTAATCTAAAAATCAAAATCAATAAAGGTGTTTTTTCGTTCCAATCGATACAATTCAGATTATTTACGAGGCGGGCTTCGACCCTGCTAGTCAGGGCTGAGAAGGATACAACATCCCAGCAGAAAAACTGAGATACTCAATAAAAATTCTCCTTATATGGGAATCAGTCTCCTGCCTTCCGCTGTATGCAAAGCATCTAATCTCTACACCACAGACGCTGGTATCAACAAAGAGTGGAAATCAAGAAAAAAACTTAGGAGTTAAGAACGAGGCAAAAAAACAACAACAGCAACATTGTGCTAGGAGCAGAACAAATGGGCAGAGAACAAGCTGAACACACTCCCCCACCCCTTCAAATGTATATAATCAGTATATCACATCCATGTTACACACAAAATCCAGTGAGACCACTGACATCAACAAAATTCTTCAGCTCATTTGGTTGTAAACTGAAACAAGAATTTCCAAATAATGCTTTTAAGTTTGCAGCTCACAAACCTTCTCATTCATAAGGAAAATCTGCATACTAGCTCGGACTTACGTTATACACGCAAATACACACACATGATGTACCTGTACTCAAATTATAAAGCACATTAAAACTCAGAACATGGTGGGAGAGGGGAAAAAAAAAACTCTCAGAAAAATCTAACTGAAAAATAAAAACAACATACAAAATATCGTCGCCCTTATGATAAGACGGGCTCACCCCTTGATGAATCGATAATAAATTAATCATTCATAAGCTCAGTCAAAGTCAGGTCTGAATTTCGCCTAAAAAAGCTCCTAAAACTCTATAACAAAGCTGAACAGTGCACCAGGCACCAAGTTGCTGCGTGATGAAACCAAATCATTTTCTTTACTTCTGCAGAATGTTCAGATAATAACATTTTTTACTTCTGTAGAATTTTCAGAGAATAAAATGGTTTGGCCACCTCTTAGGTATGTCACCTGGCCAGCCAGCCTAGAGAGCCTACAACACCAAGCACTCAGGCTAGAAAGGATAAAGAAGGCCATGCAAAAGGTGGATCGAGGGTGTTAAGGAAACCCTGAGAAAACATAATATCACAACTGAAAGAGCTGCGGAGCTGGCCTACCATAGAAAACAGCCTCTCCCCTCGACGCTTAACGGCAACAGAGGATGAAAAAGTAAAGTAAAAGTAAGTAAAGTACAATTTCCTCTGCTGGGGTTATCCGATCGTATCACAGGAGCGATGATATTTTTAAAAAGGAAAACAAACAGCACAGCGCGTTCCTTTACACGACCCTATCCTTACCAGGCAGGTCAAAGTTGACGGCGTACTCCTCATTCATGTTGTCCAGGACCGCGTCCATCTCGTCGGTCGAGAGGACGTCCTCGTCGCTGCTGGCCTGCCGCGTCTCCAACATAGGCAGTTTGTAGGTCAGTTTGTCCCTGAGGACAGTGACAAAGTGAGGTAAGTAACAATAAATGTGTCACGACGTGGTGGAATCAAGTGCCCGTCAATTTTTGGGCATGTGGAGTTATTGGCATCATCTGAAAGCTTATCCATTTGCCTTGCTTTCTATGAACAAAACACCCATCTATCTTAAATAAAAGTAGAAATATTTGCGATTGAAGGAAGTGAGGTAGCATGGTATCGGAGGTGAAAAGAAAATGGCCTCCAAAGTTTTGTAACTTCTATAGCTTGAGAGTCCTGGAAAATTGAAAATCTACATATTTTGTGCCATTAATCAACGTTTTTCAGTAAATTGAAAGGTGTTTTTAAAATGGAAATGTGTTTTTATATGGACATAAAAGGTGTTCAGCAAAAAAACAAAAATTTGATAAAAGTTCCAAAACTGGAGGAAAAATGCCTGTTTCTTTGATTTCATTATTTTGACGAGCGCCTGATTTCACCACGATGCCTCATTAATTTAAATGATACCTTGAGAGTCTTTGCAGCTCAGTAACTACACTTTACTCTTTCTCTGTACCCAAAATGCCAAACAAAACAAGACACGGGAGAGGTGGAACAGGAAAAGAGGCAGGATCAAAGAATCAAAGAAGAAAGAAAGAAAAATCACGTCTACAGAGGAGCAAAGAAGAAGCAAAAAAGATTTTCATTTAAAAACCCTGACTTACTTCTCTTTGTGAATAGAGGCGAGGTGGCGGCTGAGAACCTTCTCCTCCCTCGCCAGTTCCATGTCCACCTCCTCCTCTCCCTCCTCCTCCTCCTCCTCGTCTATGATCACGTGGATATCCTCCTCATCCACAGCCTCTTGCCGGTGCACAGACGCTTGCTTCACGGGGCTGGCCAGTGGTGATTTTTGCTGGAAGGTAACAAAATAGTAACATTATTGAACATAAGCATCGTGCAGTCTAGCATGTATGTCCTGTAGCGTAATCTGCGCGACTCGGAAATCTTTTAGCTACATTCAAATTTAATTAGAGTTCAGTACAAAAATTCATTTATACTGTCATTAATATGACTTATTACATCTTTGTCGGGTGTACGAGAATAACATTATTCTGTATTTCCATGCCAATGACTTCCTGTGTGTGTGTGAGTGTATGTGTGCGTGTGTGTGTGTGCGTGCGTGCGTGCATGCGCACACATGTGTCAATACATGTGTCAATGCATGCGTGTGCATATAAATTTACCACGCTGCAGGAAAATTTCTCTTTGAGAAGATCAACAAAACCCTATCTTCTCATATCTTATAACTTTCCATATCCTGAAGATGATCAGGTAATTCACATACCCTGGCGGTGCGAAGACTTGCCCTGACGGCATTCAGTCTCTCTCCCGTTGTTTTCTCCGCACTCTCCAGTGTATCGATGTCTTCCAGCTTGGAGTTCACTGTGCGAATTTCTTCCTTCAGGACGTATTCCAAACATCTGTTTGGAAAATAATGAAAAGGTATTTGTGAGGAAGCTTCGTGAAATCAGGCACTCATTAAAATAATGAAATTGAAGAAACCAGCATTTTTCCCCTGTTCGGCAATTTTTATCTAATTTAAAAAAAATAATTTTTCCAACACCTTTCATGTCCATTCAAAAACACATTTCTGTATGAATTTTATGGAAAAATGTTGATTAAGGGCATAAAAAAAGTACATTTTCAATTTCTAAGAACTCTCAAGCTTAGGATGTTAAAAAAAAATTTTGACTCTGAAACCAGGTAAACCCACATCCTTCAATCACAAATATCTCGATTTCTATTCAAGATAGAAGGGTATCTTATTTTTATCGAAAGCAAGACAAATGAAGAAGCTTTAAGATGATACCAATATCTCCACATGCCCAAAAATTGACAAGCACCTAATCCCACCGTGTCACGACACATTTGTTAATAAATGAATAAATAATTAATACTTTGTTGGAAACTCGAGGGGGAAAATTTGGGTTACAATGGTAAACATACATACATAAATACATCATAATCAAACACACAACTACAGTCAAACCAGTTTAACAGCCACCTGTACAAAAGACCACTTCCAATTTCCGCCTTTGCACATTTTTTTACATTATAATGATACAGTGTAAGACAGCCACTTTTCTCCTCGATAATGGATGGCCATCTTAGAAAATTTGACAATATACATAGCAAAGAATACCAAACACACAATATTACCCCAGTGCAGAACAGTTTCACAAACAAACCATTGCCACTCATTCCTTTGCTCAGATGCTCTCAAAAAAAGCTATATTACCCTGATCTTTCATCAGTTTAGGCTGTCAAAGTAAGTTGCACTGGGTCAACCCCTGCCTTAATTGCCTTCAATTATACCGGTGAACCAAGATAACCAAGAACCTGCTTATGTATACTCAAGAGTCACAGAAACAGCATTTGGCTCTTCTTAATTAATTATTCTTTATAAGCAAACAGCCCTGTCAGCAAGCCGCTCATGTGGGGCCAACCACCAACATTAAAAATTTTTTAAGCAATATTTTTTTTAAACACCCGTCCACTGCATTTTTGTTAACACCCCCGTTCCACGCATTCTACACATTGGGAGTGACTTTAAATCACTGTGGAGGTTGCAAGTTAATTTTTCAGTTTAGTCTTCATTCAGATCACCTTTGCTGTCAGTGTTGAGAGCCACGGTAAAAGCCTGAGGAACTTTTACGCAGAGCATTGTTCACAAAAACCCAACACACCAAGCACAAACACACAACGGTACAGATAGTTTTAGTTTTCGAAAGAGTTTTACGGCACTTGCAACACAATGAGGTCATAAAAGTGCCGCAGATCCGAGGTGTTACAAGAAAGTAACAAACACAAAAAAGAAGGAGGAGGAAGAGAGATAAGGACAATAGAAGTTTGATAGGAAAGAAGGAGAAGAGAGATAAAGACAATAGATGTTTGATAGGAAAGAAGGAGAAGAGAGATAAAGACAATAGATGTTTGATAGGAAAGAAGGAGAAGAGAGATAAAGACAATAGATGTTTGATAGGAAAGAAAGAGGAGAGAGATAAAGACAATAGATGTTTGATAGGAAAGAAGGAAGAGAGATAAAGACAGTAGATGTTTGATAGGAAAGAAGGAAGAGAGATAAAGACAGTAGATGTTTGATATGAAAGTAGGGGAGAAGAGACAAGGACGACAGACGTTTGATAGGAAAGAAGGAGCGGACCACACCAGAGCACCCGCCAACAACCCGGCACGGCACAGGCTCGACCGACAGACTCACAGCATCTGGTGCGGCACGAGAGCGATGGCGTCCTGTGCCTGGATGTGTTTGTTGGTACCGAGGACCACCGGGGCGAACACCACTGCCAGCGCGTTGGGCGACATCTTGTTGCTGTCAGAGTGCATGGCCACGCTGGGGAAAGTTTTGTTTTTGTACACATCAGTAAACACATGAAGAGTAATCCATTCTAAGCAATGGTATTTTGTCGATCTCCAGGCATTCACTTCTAGGACAATTTTTATGTTCACCATGCAGCTCCCCATTTATCAATTAAAATTTTTTTTTTTTTAAAGTGACGATTAACGTGTCTTGCTCAAGACACTTTTCAGAGACCGCCAGTCTGAACCCCGTGTCACCGACACTTGCTTGACAATATTTGTGAGTCTGGACCCACTAACCACTCCACCACTAGAAACCTCGAGACAAAAAAGCTGCTGCTTACCAGGCAAGATGAAAAGCAAGCCGCTCGAAGAGGTCAAAGTTTGCACGTGGCAGTTTCTTGATGACTTCAAACAAAGACCTGATGAGTTCTCTTTCGTCTTTGATTTCTGAAATAAGATACAATAAGATAAATAATAAGGTACATTGGTTTGGTGTTTCATCAAAGACAAGCACACATACACACACACACACAAACCTACACGTACAAACACACACACACATACACACAAACACACACACACATACACACAAACACACACCAAAAACACACAAAAACATGCATTGCACACATTCACTCTCTCACACATCCTCTCTTCCACACACATCTTATCTGTACACAAAAAAACAAACCACATTGCTTGCTCGCACTCACAAATAGACCCACAGTCACACACATATGATACACATGAAGCATTCAAGAATAAGAAATTTAGTTTCTGTTATAGTATTAGTAAGTGTTTAGTTTTAGTAGAGGGTGTTACGGCGCTTGGAACACAATAAGGTCATATAAGTGCCGAAGATTAGAGTTGTCACAAGAGAGTAACAAACACAAAAATGAAGGAGGGGAGATCAGGACGATAAATGTTTGAAAGGAAAGAAAAAGCAAACCACACCAGAGCACCCGTCAACCACCCACTTAGTCTCTACTGACTGACAGTATATTGGTGCAACACAGGGACTCCATAATACTTTTGTCCTCAGGGCTTACAGCATGAGGAAGAAATCCAGAATTCTGGATTTATCCAGGAAATCTGCACCTCTGTCTTAACATCCATCCGAAAGGGCTTACGCTGATTTACTATGGGAAGCCAAGATAAAAAAGAAGAAAACAACCCCCGCTGGTGCATACCTGTGACTATAAAACTGAACGTTCAAACAAATAGTTGACAAACCTGTCGTTCTTAAGAAATCATCGTACAGTTCGTAGGTGAGCAGTGGCTCCGGTAGCATGCGGAGGAAAGTCTTGAGCACCGAAGCTTGAACGTGGACGTGGTAGTCCTCCAGGTTAACAGCCTCCACGTCTGTCGGACAAAAGGCAATCATTACGTGACATAAAGTGAAAGGAATCATTGTCTCATATGGACGCTTTTAAGGACAAGCGGGCTCACCCAGATTTCGAAGGTTTCCAGAAATCTTGACCTACACCAAAAGTGGGTACTGCCCTACCTATAGCAGAAGTTTGGTTTCAATGGTGTGTATATTTGTTTGGTTATAGAGAAAACTCTCCTTGTCTTTTAAAGAAACTGAATAAGGGTCCAAAAACTTTACCTTCGATTTTCTCAAAACAGCATTTTTCGGGATAGCCCCCTTGTGCTAAAAAAAACGTATATGGACAGTATAAAAAAGTCAACAATGTTCAGAAAATCACCAGCAAGCTGTTGAGAAGTAGTAAGCCCAGAAAGTAAAATTTTCCTGGAGACAGAATACAGTTTAAATCTTTTAATAATTGTACTTACAGTGAGTATCTTTTCTAGCGTTTTTTAATATTCAGAATTTGAATTTTGGCAAAATATTCCTCGTGCACATGCCACAGATCATATATATATATATGTGATCATTTCGTGACGATGTGTAAGCGTGCGCATGTGATAAGCAAGTAGATGTGTGTGTGTGTGTGTGTGTTTGGCGTACATGTGTGCACACGTGTGCGTGTTATGTGTGCTTGAGTGTGTGAGTGTGTGTGTGTTTGTGTGTGTGTATGAGTGTGTATGTGCGTGTGTGTGTCGCGTGCGTGAATATTGTTCGTACATGCATTTATGTAAAGCGCCTAGAGCTGTGTTTACACGGGAGTGGGCGCTATAGAAATGATCTTCATTATTATTATTATTACCGATACCAGATTAAGAAAATGTTACCCAAAAATTTTTATTTTTAAAAATTGGAAACATTGACGGAGAAACATGGTCAGAAGACAATGATAGCAGGAACAAGAATTTTATACATATTAATTTTATTCCACTGAAATCAATTGTTGTGCAAAGCAAATCCAAAATTTCGAATGACATTTTCTCCATTAAGAGCACTGCATTCTATAAAATATGAAAACTAATTAAAGATGCTTCATGTATTTTGAAAATCAGCATATGAATAAAAAAAGTTATGGGCCTAGCCAAGAAATTATTCGAAAACACATTGGAATGAATATGATGCCTAAGGGAGATCACTTGAAGAATATATCGATGGTTTAGTGTAATACTCCATCGTACGCCATTTAAAAAAGTGAGGTATAATGGCATCTTACACACAGAGCAGTCAGTATGAGCTTTCTGTCAGAAGAGACACAAGACTAAAGCTATCACTGAATGCTTTAACTTTTTAATAGGAACAAACGTTCACACGTTCTATCCTGTAACCATATAAATTCCTTATTCTTCATCTTGAAAATGATCATTGTATATCTTTATAATTAAACTTGAAACTCTTGTCCTCAACCCCACAATGAAAACTCACCATTCTCAAGGGCTGCTTTCAGCTCCTTCACTTTCGGGGCCGCCCCCGACTTACGGTACACTCCTTCCACATACAGGCCTGTCCGTTCAATAGCCGACATCAGGCGCTCGCAGACCACGGGAATCTTCTGCGACTCACTCACCAAGGCGTCTAGGTTTGCCCCAAACACCTTGCTGCTCGGGTGACCCTGTCAGGTGGGAAATAGAAAGACAAGCCGGAGATTTCACAGTTAAGTTTTAGTAGAGGTTTTACGGCGTTCGCAACTGCATAAGGTCATATGAACGCAAGAAGATTAGAGGTGTTACAAGAGAGTAACAAACATAAAAGAGAAGAAGAAGGGGAGATAAGGATGATAGATGGTGTGGGGGGGGGGGTTTGTAAGTGTTTTACGGCCCTCGCAACTGCATAAGGTCATATGAGTGCGCTGGACACACCTAATACTTTTAGTTGGTAGGAAATTTTGAATTTTGCCCGGGTGGCCGCCGAAGCCTACTCTTATCGATTTTAGACCACCAAGGGATCTTTAATGTGCGCAACTTGCACACGGGCCCTCCAAGATTTTTCGCCCTTGTCCGAGAAGGCTAGGTGTAGATCTTTCCTACCAGAAGATCAGGGGTGTGGCAGAAAGACAGCTGTAAGAAGGAGTCAAGGAGTAGCAGTAGAAAGGCTGCAGAAAGAGTCAGGAGCCCAGAGGAGGGGGCAAAGGAGGTGAGGGGGTGGGGGCAGAAAGAGGAGACGAAAGCAGACGACAAAATATTGCTAGAGAGCAGGAAAGGAGGTGAAAGGAGACAATTTTTGAGAAGAAAATTTTTCGGTCGCTACCCGGATTCGAACCTGGGACCTTTGAAAGAGAGGCCAACACCTTAACCTCTAGGCCACGAGAGCCCCCCCCCCCCCCCCCCTTATATGTTTGATAGGAGACTTCAACATTAAGCCCTTGAATTAAAAGAGCCTAGCTCCAGACAGACCCAGTTGGGGAGAACAGCAATCATAAGAGGCAGTGAATCATATGAGGCTAAACAAGAAATGCTGGAGCTAAGAGAGAAGCCCGCACGCTGTACACATACACGAGGGAAAATAAAGCTTTTAGATGCTAAAAACGTGGTGAACTCTCCTTTGCCAGAATAGGCCTCATAGACCATAACAGAGCCACAAGTCATCTTATCCCATATTTCTTCTGTTGTACTTATGTGAAGTATTCTCTGCTGCAGATGCATTGGTCATCATCTGATATTGACAACTATCTTTATAACAATAAACTGTTCAAAAGGTCCAGAAAAACAGATATAAACTGACACACATTGTTGCTAGGCTGTTCAACTGTTCCAAGCCCACGAAGCCAAATTTATTAGGAGAGAGAGAAAAAATCGTTTCATTCATTTAAAAAATTGCACCAATATTATGTATCTTTTCTTGCATTTTTTAACATTTAGAATTTGAATTTCAACAAAATATTTCTCAGATACATGCAACCGATACTACAGATTAAGAAACTACAAGGGAAAGATTTCACCACAATTTTGGGCTTAGTACATCTGAACAGATGGCTGCCGACGTGTGCTAAAAACTGTCCCATGGACAAGAGTCTTCCAACATCTGTCCATATCAGACTACTGCATTTCCACACAGGCAAAACATTTCTCAACACAGGGATACCATTCTCCCCGGACCAAATAAATAAGTGATGTTCCCAAACTGACGAACCAAATTTCCACACTGACAAACTAAATTCCCTCATAGATGAACCAAATTCCAACACAATGACCCGTATTTCCACATAGATGATGCAAAAGAAAATCAGGAGGCTGAAGGAAGACTATACTAGGACAAAATCTCTCTCTCTCGGAATGAATATGATGCCTAAGGGAGATCACTTGAAGAATATATCGATGGTTTAGTGTAATACTCCATCGTACGCCA